CATTGGCTCCCATGGCAACCAGCAGTCACTCAACCCTTGAGGTCTGTGCCTATTCACCAACCTTTATAGTCCTTAATTAATTTTAATTTAACTGGTTCCTCTCTCTCCAATACAGATCGTGTTTTATTTTTTATTTTTTGTCTAATTATTCTACTTCTTAATTTTTAGATCTCTACAATTTGAGTTAGGATCTCTAATAAAACAAATTTATAATATTATTTTCATACTTTTACTGAGTATTCGGTTTAGTTACTCTATATTTAATGTATATAATTTTTATTCACTTATAACCTGTTTTGTAGTTTTAAATTGGGACCTTGTTAATTTATTTTATTCTTTTAACCATGTGTTTTTCAGTTACCAATTCTGTTATAGTTACCAATTCTGTTAAAACTGCATTCAGCTCGGCAAAGAACTCATGCTCTTCCTCAACACTGAAGTCCTCAGACATTTTTCTTTCGTTGTTTCTTTCTTTGCACAGGTAAACAGCACATTTCTTCTTCTACGCTTGCATTATCGGCAGAGCAGACGCTGAATGCGCACTTTCATATGGTTTGGTCTGCCGGCTTCCGTAGCGTCGTGAACACGCAGGCGCGCGCTTTCAGGAAATCCTATACACTACTGCTTATGCTCTAAAAACATTCTAAATGACTTCGTTTCGAGTAAATTCTGGATGCTACCCACTCAGGACACTTGGAATACATTGGACGAGCAGTATGGAGGAATATTGACACGTTTTTTGTGGACTTTTATGGACCGTTCTGCCTCGGGCGCCATAGACCTCCATTATTTGAATGTCAGCAGACAGCAAGAAGCCTCCCAGATCTCCAGATGCATTTGAGATATCAAAAAAGTACTCCAGAGTGTTGTTCAGCATGGGGGTGAGTAGAAAATGAAGGCTAATCATGTTTTGGGGGTACTATTCCTTTAACACGCGTACTTTAATGTTCCGGATTTATGGCTTCCACAGACTATGTCAAACGCCTTGACCAATCTGTCCCTTTACCAATCGTCCGCTCAGAACATTGCCTGTTAAGCTTAACTTATACACAAAATAATTCAAACACAGAACAGTTCAAATACAGAATAATACAAACATTAATTAATACTTAAACCATGCATTCACATATACATTCATACATACCCGGACCTTTCCCCAGCTTAGTCTGCCTTTTGTATATTCTTATATAAATACTTATTAAATTTGCAAAATACTTATTAAATTTGGAATACTAGGTTTTTTTAGGAGAGCTCTTTTGGCGCCTTACACCCACAAGCCGTCGCCGGAGGCTGGTTCCCCATTACTTTAGAAAATTATAACAAATTGTATTTCAGTTGTAAATGATGAATATTGGGCCCTTGGGGTTCCTGGCCTCCAACTGGTGCCTGCAGGTTGTCCGACGCCTGGGGCTTCCTCCTGGCTGGCTCGCCAAAAATGTCGTGGAAACTGTTATCCCAACGACTTAAATTTGAAGCTAAGTCTTATAAAAATTCTAAGTTCTCAAAAAGCTGTAAAAAAAAGTCTTCAGACAATGTTCAAAAATCAGGCAGGGGCAACTGGGTCCAGGTCCAGAGTGTTTTATTTACAGAACACACATTAGTTGTTCACCGGTGAGCAACAACTGCTGACTTACATGCAGGAAAGGGCCCCCTTTTATTCACTCCCGGGGCTCGGGGCTCTTTCATCTTGGTGGAAGACCCACCTTCAAACCATATTTTATATTTTTAATTGAAGCCTTTCTTTGATCTATCAAAGCTTTTTCCTTCACAAGTCATAGTGACATTTCTTGTAGATCATGATGACATTTAGTGCAGTTAAATCAAAAACACATCATAGTCTTAATCATCAATATGTCAAAACAATTTTTTCATCCAGTGTGACTTATGATCATAATATTACATTAACAAAAAGGTCAGCATAAGTTTAAAACTCAAAGTCCCAGTAAAACCTCCCTTTTTGTGTCAGAAGTATCGCACCGCATGCTTTGGAGATGACAATTCAATATATTACAATTAGTTCAGCTTAGCTGTGCATCCCTGTACAACCCATTCTCAATGCGTCTGTCTTACAAACAGGTCTCATCTCTGCACCCTGGTTTTCAAAGGCCTCAAATGGCCTTGGACTCCCTTGGATTGCTCCTGTTCTCCCGCTCATTCTAGGTGTTTTCCCACCCTGGTCTCATCTCTCAGACTTCAAAGGGCCCAGCTAAAAAAAGAGCCATACACACACTGTTCTCTTTCTCTCTCTTTGGCCTTAATAGCATAAATGTATTTATTGAGAAACAACTCTATATGCATTGTAAAACATTTAATTCTATTTCATTCTAATCATTGGTGCAGATTAATTCACTACAGGGGCATGCCATAGCTAACTAAGCTGTTTTAGTTCTTTGGAGAATGAAGATCAGGGGGTTTTGGCTATGAAAGGAGATATCGTAAAACCAGGGATGGTGGGTGGATGAGGATGGTGCGAACTCAGAGCAGTGGAGGAAGCCGAAGAAAGCTGGCAGGAACTTGGATTCTAGGGTTGGTTCTATGGATGGAAGAGGTTAACCTGAGATAGGATCCAAGGGTTGAGGAGGTCTGCCCTGAGAGGGAGTCCATGGGTGGAGCTGGGAAGCTCTTGTTTGCTGAAACCGTTAGGAAGCCTTAGATAGATATTTAACTCTTTAACAGTTATAAGGTTTGGATAGTGGTCGTACGAATTTTAAGAATTGAATGAGAATAAGTAAAGAAAAGGCCGATAGATGGACTTCAGCTTTCAGCACCATCATCCCACAGCATCTAATGGGCAAACTGTAACAGCTGGGCTTCAATACACCCCTCTGCTATTGGCTGCTAGACTTCCTCACCAACAGACCTCAGTCAGTCTGGGTTGGACAGAACGCCTCTGATGTCATCGGTCTAAGCCCCTCCCCTCAGGGCTGCGTCCTGCGCCCCCTGCCGTTCACCCTGATGACACACGACTGCGTCCCCAGGTTCACCACCGATCACATGGTGAAGTTTGCAGACGACACCACGGTGGTGGGCCTCATCAGAGACGACAACGACCTGGACTACAGAGAGGAGGTGGAGCAGCTGGTGGAGCAGAGATAACAGCCTGATCCTGAAGGTGGAGAAGACCAAGGAGATCATGATGGACTTAAGGAAGAAGCGGCCTAACCACGCTCCACTGCTCATCAACAGCTCAGCTGTAGAGGTGGTCAGCAGCACCACATTCATCCCAGACACCCTCACCTGGACTGGAAACACCACCTCACTGGTCCAAAGGGCCCAGAAGAGCTTGGACTTCCTGTGGAGGATGAGGAGAGCCCACCTGCCCCCCCATCCTCCCCACCTTCTCCAGAAGCACCATAGAGAGCGTTCTGAGCAGCTGTCTCACTGTGTGGTGTCTCACCCCCCCACCATGGACTGTTCTCCCTGCTGCCCTCTGGGAAGAGGCTTCACAGCATTCAATGCAGGACCAGCAGGTTCTGCAGCAGCTTCTTCCCCACCGCCATCACACTGATGAATGTTGTGTAATATGGGTTATTGTATTTTATTATTCTATTTGTTAGATTTTATGATTATAAAAAATGAAAATGTTACAACTATAAAGTTACAGTCGTTTGTTTATATCACTGTTTGTGTCATGATGGGTATCTGAATTAAGCAAAAATGCAGAACACACACGGAAACGGGGTAAAAGTTCAACAGAGTTTATTGTGGTTCACAAGCACACGATAAAGAATTAAATTAGGAACAGGTTCAGGGCTGGTTCACTAAAGTCTTGACTGGGACCGGAGACTGTTGGTTAGCAGAGTTCATAGGAAGCTAAGCGTCTAGCTTCAGGCTTAGCATGGCAGACCAAGATTTGAGCTTCCAGCTCACTGCAGAGAACAACAGGGAATATCCACATAGGATTCCTCAGGCTGAGCTTCCAGCTCATTGCAGAGAACAACAGGGAATATCCACATAGGATTCTTCAGGGTGATTCCACATAGGAACCTTCAGGTTGGCTCACCAGGGCAGATTAGCAGGTTAAGCTCTCCTAGAGCTTCAGGCTTGAGACTGGTTTCCTGTGATGCAGCTCTCCAAGAGCTTCAGACCAGAGACAGGGTTGCAGTGAGGCAGCTCTTCCTGAGCTTCAGACCAGAGACAGGTTTCCTGTGAGGCACAGACAAAGGAGAGATTAGAATCTGATCTCACACTAGAGACAACCAAGATTCAATCTGTAACAGAGGCTCAGGAAGCTAACCAACTAAGATCAACACTGCGGCGTGGAAGCAAGGTCTGGCAGGAGCTAATAAAGGGGAGGTCTCCTGATGAGTAGATGGAAATCAGGTGTGCTGGAAGGTTCCAGCTCCAGAAGACCCACGGCGCACTCTGCTGGAGACAGAGGGTAATCTCCAGATCCCAACAGTAACTCCAACCCTAAGGGAAAATAACAAAGAGCAGAACGGGATCCTCGGCGCCCTCTGGTGGGCAAGCCTGAGAATCCCAACAGAGCCCCCCCCTCAAGGGCGGATTCCAGACGCCCCCTGAAAAAGTCCAAAAAAACAAACAAAAAACAACCCACCCAGGGCGGGCGGAGGGGGCACTAAGGCAAGGAGGGCCAGAACCAACAGAAAAAAAAGTCCAAAAAACAACCCACCCAGGGTGGGCGAAGGGGGAAACAGGCCAGGAGGGCAGAAAACAAAACCAGAGTCCAGAACAAAAAACAATCCACTTATGGTGGACGAAAACAAAAGAAAAACCCAAAAAATTTCTTGGGCAACGTCTCTGGTGGCCGGTCGTGGGACCGGCAGCGGGACAGAGTCTCAGGTGGCCGGCCGAGGGACCGGCAGCGGGACAGAGTCTCAGGTGGCTGGCCGAGGGACCGGCAGCAGAGGCGTAGCAGATGCTCAGGAGGCCGACCGTTGGGACGGAGGCGAGGCCGATCCTCAGGGGGCCTACCGCTGGGCCGGAGGCGAGACAGATGCTCAGGAGGCCGACCACGGGGCTGGGGACGAAGCAGCGTCTTAGGGGGACCACCGCCCGGCCGGAGGCATGGCAGAGGTTCTGGAGGCGGCCGAGGATCCGGTAACGGAGCAGAGTCTTAGGTGGCCGGCTGCGGGGTCGGAGGCGAAGCTGACACTCTGGGGGTCTGCCATGGGGTCGGCGGTGAAGATGACGCTCCGGGGGTCTGCCGCGGGGCCGAAGGCGAAGCCGACGCCCCGGGGTTCTGCTGCGGGGCCGGAGGCGAAGTTGACGCTCCGGGGGTCTACCGCGGGGCCGGAGGCAAAGCTGATGCTCTGGGGTCCGGCCGCGGGGCCGAAGGCGAAGCAGCTTCTCAGAAGGATGACGCCCAAACTTCAGCAGGTACCCCCACGGGGTACCCCGTCCCCTCCTCGGCAGCTCAGGAACAGGCTCATTAGTGACCGCCGACTGTGGCTCAGGAGGAGGCTCTGAGGAGACCGCCAACTGCAGCGCTGGAGGAGGCTCTGAGGAGACCGCCGACAGCAGCTCTCGGATTGGAACAGGGTAATCTCCAGATCCCAACAGTAACTCCAACCCTAAGGGAAAATAACAAAGAGCAGAAGAGGATCCTCGGCGCCCTCTGGTGGGCAAGCCTGAGGATCCCAACAGTTTGTATATATATTTACTATTTTTGAAGGCTGCACTTTTAAAATAGATTAACTTGTCCAGAGAGCTGTTTCCAAAAACAAAATTTATTTTTGGCGATGAACTGAATGGAAACAGTTCCAGCCAGACAGATACATTCAGAGAGTATTGGGTGCTTGACTATGAAGAATGGATTGATTATACGGCCTTAGGAGGTTATATACCTGAGGATGCAGTTGAAGGAAACAGTGGGACGGGGTTGGGAATGAGAGACTGGGAGTGTGAGCTGCTAACTGGTGTTTAGTGGAAATCTAAATTAATCTGCACATGATTTTGGATTAATGAAATCTTTATTGATCATTTCTACGCCTGCTGCCTTATCTAAATGGATGAGGATGAATTTGTTTGATCATTGGTGCCTAAAGGATGGCTGAGATAAATATAGTATAAAAGTTTGAAGAGAATAGATGAAGGTGAAATTAATACTTGCTGGAGAGAGCTAAGCTCTGGGGGCCATTTTGCTGTAAGGGCAGAAAGCTATTGGGGGGGGGTGGGCTGCGTCTCTATACACAGCAAATTTTGCAGTGTTAAATCAACACTTATAGAGTTAAATTTAACACTATATCCGAGTGTATTTGGTCCTTATCAAAATAATGTTGAATTAACTCTTTCCAAAGTGTTGAAATTTCAGAGTGAAATTAACTCAGAATTGAGTTAAAATTTAACACCGGTTTACACTGTACAGTGTTAATAGAACTTAACACTGTAGGTTATTAACACTGGAGAGAGTTAAAATGATTCTCAGGAGTGTTGAAGAGTTACACTATTGGGGTGACAAATCAACTCTGATACAGATACTTTTTAACCTTGCACTGAGTTAATGGAGGTGAACACTGAAGACTCATAACTGTGTTAACTGTTCACTATTAATGTCTTGATTTACACTGTTGCAGTGAAAAAACCCCAACTCAAATTGAGTCAAATCCTAAAAGCCATTAACACTGTACAGATAAATATTTACACTTTTGTAGTGTTAAATTGCATCTATTACACTTTTTATAAATATCAATGAATAAAAACAAGTTATTGCAAAAATACATTTCAGAACTTTTATTTCACAAAAGCATGTTAGAAAAATATTTAATTTGGCATTTTTAACCATTACAAACATACTCCAGAAACCATTTACATATGCAGCATTTAAAGGAGAAAAAAAAAAATGAAGTCATGCAATAGGTGTACCTGCCGTGCCAGGTATCCTAATGCAACTTGTTTGCATGCACATAAACTTTTGGGTGCACAAGACAATGTAACAGGTCATAACAGTGTACCACTTAGCAGCACTGGCCCCAAGCCTACATAAAATGACAATATGGAACAACATATAAGGCCATATGTCCTATACTTCATTTGAAGAGTGAACAATAAGAAGTAAAAGATAATTTATGTGCAAAACTCTCCATAAAACTGTTCATATGCAGCATTTAAAAAAAGAAAAAAAAAGTGAATTGACATGCAATAGGTGTACCTGCCGTGCCAGGTATCCTCATGCAACGTATTCATATGCACAAAAATGTGTGCCTGCTGCTCCATTACTGGGCCCCTGATAAACAGCTTATATGAAGTTGAACACGAACACTTAAGAACACTGACCCTAGGTCTGCATAAAATGACAATATGGAACAACATATAGGGCGTTATCTGTGGTACCATACTTCATTTGAAGATCAAACGGTTTAAAGTAAAATAACTCACTTATGTGCAACACTTTTAAAACATTATCTGGATGCAGCCTGACCTTAAAGGCATGGTAATGATTATCAAAACACAAGGTTTCCATCAGTTTTCCACAGAGCAAGACACAGTCATCTTTTACAGCAATCACGTCAATCTTACAAAAAACAGGCATCTCATCTGTTACTTCAGTACATATAAGTCACGACGGTATTCTGTACCGTAATATTTGATCCATTTGGCAGAAAATACACTGGTTGACAAAACTGTTCCAAATTTTGCAGCAATTGCTGTGCCCTGTTTTAACTCATTAAGAGTCACCATCTTTCCTGGACCTAAAGTTAATTTTTCCTTGCCAAAAGATTCACGAACCAGTGCCATATAACTTTGGTGCTTTTTTGCTAATGTCTTTGTAATGTTTTTAAAACTCTTTAATTGTCGTTTGAAGAAATTATGTTTAGCTTCGTAACGCATGCACCATGTGTGTAAAATGGGACCGATTTTCCTTATGCTACGAGGGTAATGTATCATGAAATGATACTTTGGCAAGAGATTTATTTCAGGAAATATTTGCTTGAACAACTGATGATGATTGATGATTAAATGTTTGAGGTATATGGTCATGCCCTCTGACAGGACTGGGGAAAATACAATATTGACAATCTGTAAAAGCAAAATTAAAAGATCCCAATGTTTGTCATCTGTTTCAATCAAATCACCAAATAACAAAGGCATATTGCGTAATAAGCACCAAGATTGTATGGCATTTAGTCCCAGGTCATTACTACCATCCCTTAACTTATCTGTTGGCAGAGGTGGACGGTTTCGCTGCTGGCTGAAACCATAATCATATGCATGTATTCTACCAGCCACTTGTTCAGCACTTAGAAAGTTACTTTGAATGTACTTCAGAATCAGTTTCGCCTCAAACTGACCAACCCCCTCTAAAATATCATGCACTATATCAACAGAGAAGTTGTTGGCTGTGTTGAAATATTGAAGTGAATTCAAAAGACAAATGCGCTTCACACCATATACATGAGGCAGCCTTGGGTCTGTTTGTACAGTCTGACAGTGCTGTGAATGTGTATTGATAGCTCTGAAGACAACTTCCGGATCATCTTCACAGAATACAGTTTGAAAACGGTGTTTTTCAAGGAGACAAAAACGACAACAATATCGAGCCCCAAATGATTCCACAAAGCCAAACAGGCCATGTAAACCAAGATTGTCCCCAGTAACCTGAACCAAAGTACCACGAATCTTGTGTTCAACATTTGGAATTTGAAGTCCCTCTGTCTCAAGCACTTTCAGATCACAAACAAGTGGTTCAAGTATCAAATTAAAACTGTATCGCTTGATATCCTGTGCATGGAATAGAGCACACAAATGAATATTGTTTAAAGATGAATTAAAAATTGGGGGGAAATTTCTTAAAGTAAAATATATAGCGCCTAATTTATGCAAACCCTTTTTGGATCCCAAGACATTTGCAGTTTCAAAATCATCATAAAAAAGCTGAATCTGCAAGGCATCGTTTTCTATTGAGAATAGGGGACTTTCTTTAAAATAAGTGGCATCTCTCAAGTCTGCATACACACCTTCCCTGGGAATATACCTGGGCTTGAACATTTCTGCAGTATCACCTTCTTGTAAAATACTCTTCAGTGTTTCCAAAATGGGAATATATGCAAATGTATCAGTTACAATGACTTGATCATATGTCCCAGTAGTTTTGTTTCTCCTGCTGTCAAATCTTGTGCCAAGCACTTTTTGTACAGGCTCAGAAAGTCCCCATTTTTCTCGTAAATGTTTGTTTAGTTTTGCTTCTGAATTTAAAGGTGTGAATGGATTTTCTAATACTTGGAAGGACTGTTCAATTTTTTTTCTTTGTTCTTCATCCTGTGGAGACAAGCACTGTAAAGCTAAATCCTTAGCCTGGCTGTGGATTTCAAAAATGACTTCTTCCATGGCTGACACAAACCTCGCAACATTAGACTGACTTAATCCAGCTGCTTTTACTTGTGCAATAGCAGTAGTACACATATCTGTAGTGCTGATATTTGACTTGGTCAGCAGAGTACCGGTAGATGTTGTGGCCGACTCTACATTAGTTGTCACCAGCTCTCCTGCATCACCAAGGTCTGCTCTGCTTGAACTGACGTTAACTTGTTGATTAGTATTGTCAGTGTGCTTGGCATTTAAATGTTTTCTAAACCCAGAAAATGTTCCAAGCACACGGCCACATCCAGTCTGAGAACATTTAAGACGAAGATTTTTTCCATCCAAGTAACCATGAACTACTCGTAAATGCCTAACAAGAGTATTCGCAGAAGGTAATTCAGACTGACAGACAAAACACTTCATGACTGAACAGATCCATTCGTGTACTAATGAAGCAACCGAGCCCGAACTTCAGCTACACGAGGACTCTCCTTGACTTTTCTAACATCTATGTTGTACACAGTGGTCTGGATGAACGTGAACATGTTGTACAGCATCGGGTGGTATGTTGTTGCAAAAACATAATGCGCTTTAAACAGTTCGTCAAAGGCACCAATTGAAGAGGCCGAACTGCAAGCGATGGCACTTTTGTCAAGTATGATGAAAAATTGGTGGGCTGATTTCCTACTTCGTCCTATAGCTAGGAGGTAGGGCTGTGTGCTTGTTGTGATAGAATCCAGATGTTCTTGGATACTGGTTCCTGACTGACAAAACAAAAACACAAAACAGAGTATTACAATTACATGGTGGCAATATTACACAAATAAATAATAAATTAACACGTTTTTTTGTTTATGTATAGCGTTTAACTGTATGTGATCATGAGTAAAACCAAGGCTCCCTCAATGAAACGTCGTTGAATAAAATAGATAAATAAAAAACAAAAAAAACAAACCTTCTTGAAGACTAACAGATGCTTCTCTGCTTGGGAAGCAGACACCTTTCCTGGTCTCTTGCGGCCTTGGGCAGAGGGGGGAATCAGGTGTAACAGCAGCAAAATTGATGCGAGGTCACTGTCCCAACCTGTAATCACACAAATTTGATGTTAAGTAGAAAATCAGCAAATTTTAGTTATTCTGCTATTTCAATATTTTCCCTTTCAACAAAATACAAGGCAGCAGGTGTATATGATCATCAGTTCTGTTTCTACTGAGCTATTTTATATTTAAAACTTTCACTACTCCTAACACAAAACATTTTTGAAGCATTTCACATTTGAATAAATCTATTGCACCTCAGGGCAACAGTAGCTGTGCTGTTCATACACAGCACTACTATAAAAATGTGCTAACCAAAAGGCACTGCAAATATGCTTTTATTTTGTTATTGTCCCACAGTGTAAGAAATTGTGTTAAAAGTTTAACTTGTGTTGTAAATGAATTATTCAATATTTATATGAAGTATAGGACATACAGCCCCCGAATTGCCTTACTTAACTCTTACATGGGCTATGGTTAAACACACAAGTGTAAGTGGAATGTGGAAAAAGTCAAGCTTACCAATGTCGTCATCCACTTCAGTGCCATCCTCAGGAGTGTCAGCTGCCAGGAGGAGATCTTCAAGCTCTCTGGTCGATGGAAGCTTTCTGCATTGTTGGATGATCTTTTTCTTGAATGCGGTTGTCCATTTCTCCAGAAACTTCCCCGAGACATCTTCCCCAAACATCAGAACAAAATCCTGTTCCACCTAGAGTATGGATAAATTAGAACTAAGATTTCACAGCCCAACAAGTTACGTTCATTGTTGACTGCCAGTAAAATATACATATCCTTTTTAAAAATGTCAATCAGAAATATTTACCAAGCCTTTGACATCCTTGAAACGTGGAAAGACAGACAGTATGTTGCTTGACTGCTGTGGGTCGAGGACCATGTTGCGGCGGAAGTCAAATGTCAGCTTCATCTTTTTCTTGATGGTGTCCTCATCAGCTGAATGTTTCATCAATGCCACAGCTTCCTTACACTCATCTTCACTCAGGACAATCTCTGGGACAAACTGGGGCTCTCGTCTGGCAGCTGGTCCTCCAGGTCCATCTTCATGAGATGCTCCTGCAGATGATGCTACATATACAAAAAACAAGATAATCGTATAAAGATAAGAAAAAAAACTCTGACCAAAGAAAATTTTTCAGAATTAATTTAGTGTTACTTTCATATGATGATCGACGTTCTTTGGCAGCAGATCTCTGAATAGTTTTAATTCTCCAGGCCAGGTACCCAGACCCACTTTCACCATCATAATAATGCTCCTTTGATGATAAAGAATAAACATAGTCCGTTAATTAGATTGAAGGTGCTTCCCATTTGATTTTGACATAACAAAAAAAGTGTGTTATTTGAATATACCACCTCCCACTTCTGCACCCTCATCCTTCATATAACCCCACCCACATAAAAAAGTGATGCAGGAAATAATAAAAAAAAACTTGCAACTTAAAAAGTTATGTATGCAGAGCAATTTTATCACTTAAAGATGAAAGTAGCTATTGAAATATACTGTTAGAAATCAAAATGTTTCAGTTTAACATTTGACACTATCACAGCCATTATATTGTCTATATTACATTGACTTACAGAGCCAGTCCTAGAGAATGGATCACTGAGGTGGGGAAACAAGCTCACAATACCTCTGGCATACATTTCTTTTACCTGTCTGGGTGGTGATGTACTGCAACATTGAAATGAGAAAAAAAAATATAGATGTCTTAGTTGTATGCACTGATTTTAATGAAAGTTTTACTGAGCTAAACAGAAAGGATTGACAAATTACCCATTCTTCTCTGTTATGTCAGCCGCTAGTATGTTCACCATTTTCCTTCTGGTTTCATCTGTCAAGGACTTGTTTCGATTATATTCATTTATAATGCTTTCCCCACCTGGCTTCTTGGTCAAAATGGTTTCTACCAACTATAAGCAAAGAGGAAGAAAAAAGGGATAGTACACCCACAGAATGATGTACCTTTATATTCTCCTCACCCTCATGCTAAGCAGGACTCTGGAACACGTTTTTAATGTCTCAAATGCAGCCGGAAATTCAAAATTGTCTCCGATCTCTGGCTGCATTTGAATATTAAAAAAGTGTTTCAGAGTCTTGCTCAGCATGAGGGCGAGCAGAAAATGAAGGCACATCATTCTGTGGGTGTACTTATCTTTTAAGAATACATCATAAAGACATATGAACCGAATGGTTATTAAAATGCCACTTTAATAGGAAAAAAAAAAAAACACCACCACCACTTTGAAGACCTAACACTGTTTTACTATATTAATTCTTACATGTTTGGCTTCTGTGTCCAGCCTCTGCCGTTTACTGGAAGGACTCTCTGAAAGGATGATTGTGTCTTGAGAATCAGACGAATTGAGGGATGATGGTTCCGATTGCTCAGGAGACACCATAGAAACAGATTCTGTTCATGACAGGAGCAGATTGAAGGAAAAATGTTTATCACACTAAACTTGTATTTTATTCAATACTGTAATATAAATTACATATGCAACTGAGACAAACCAGTGTCAAGTTTGATGGTTAGCACTCCAGTTGAGGGATCCTTAACTACATCCTCAAATACATCATCATCCAACTCAGTTCCCGAAGTGTCAAAAACTTTCACATCTTCTGTCAGAGCTGGCACACCAAACTTTGCAAATGCTATAGGAAGACAAATACCTATGTCAATCAAACTTATAAATATTTTTCTAATGCTCACAAAAATCCAATAAATCTTTTTATGAGGAGAGACACTCTTCCTATGGAGGATAAAAAGCCCAAATTAAATAAATAAATACAGCATTAAATATTTAAATGTGTCAATAATTAATTAAATGTGTAATTAAATATAAAGTGCCACAATTAAATAAATAAATAAATACAGCGATAAACAATTAAATGTGTAATTCATTAAATAAATAAGGAATTAAATATATAAATGTGTCATTAATTTAATAAAATACGTCTTCATTTTATTTAAAAATATATATATAATTATTTCAGTGTGCATTTAATGATTTCATGCGACACAGGACCTTGAAATAATTAAATGCACACTGAAATAATTATATCTATTTTTTTTTAATAAAATGAAGATGTATTTTATTAAATTAATGACACATTTATTTATTTAATTGTGGCACTTTATATTAGTGACGTGGTTTTAATTAATGACACATTTATTTATTTAATTGTGGCACTTTATATTAGTGACGTGGTTTTAATTAATGACACATTTATTTATTTAATTCCACATTTAATTATTGACACATTTAATTATTTATTTAATTTTGGCACTTTTTATCCTCCATATATTTCCAGTTATTCGAAGCACTTAAAAGCTTGCAGCACAAAAGTAGACTCCAAAGTCGATTTCTTACCTGCGACCAAAAACTCTTTCAGATTCGGCTCTGTTATTCTGACAAATTTTTGGACATCACCCAGTCTGGTTTTAATCAACATGATTCCTGCAGCACACAATTGAACATGGTCAAAGTTGTATATGGTCATTACATAAAAAAAATACAGCAAGTGGATGACATACAAGAGCATCCCCGTAGCATCACAAACGTTCAAGATTAATGTTCAATGGGAGGGGGGTGCGAAAGCTGATGACTGACTGTACACCTTACACTGCGACAGATAAAATTTTACAAGGATGTATTCCCGTTCTACTACAAATCATGCAAATATACTCTGCTTACTCTGTACGTCGACAAAGCCGAAGAAAAGCATGCCGCTATTATTCAAACTGCTTCCTAAAGTTTAACGTAGCCTTATGTTAAACCACATCCTCAAATATCACCGTTAGACCAGTAATGCAAACGTTTAATTTAGCAACTTACGTAAACCATTGCCAGTTTAGAAGAAAACGAAATAAATATAAAGGTGGAAATGGCGTCTACTTGATGGTTTTAATGTTACAGTTGATTTTGAACCGCGTTTAAAACGGCGCGGGGTAATTTTTCCTCATACCGTGACAATTTTTAAAGCATTTTTATCAATAATAAAACCAAGCTATACTTCTAAATCAAGTGCAACAGTAAGTTAATTACCTTGCGGTACTGGTCAACTTGGAAACGCGCGCGTTTTAAGCTAGGTTTTCACTCAGTCACGTTAGCCGTTTTGAATTTGTGGTGTAAAAAAAAAAAAACGTGCTAAAATACGGAGCCAAACAACAAGGTGTTCCCATAAAACACATTTTTTGTTAAATCCCAACATAGAATTCGGATAAAAAGTGATAACACTTACCACAATCGTTCGAAGAGGAGAGGAGATAACCTGTAACCACCCCGCCAGAAAAGTCTAGAAACGGTTGAAGATGGAAAAAGTGGGTGGAGCTTTCAAGAGTCACGTTAACACGCCGTCTTTGAACTCTGATGATTTTCACCAACACTAGGGGGCATTCTACTCAACCTGTTGTTGCTTTTACTCAGAAAGAGGAAATATATTTTAACACAGCGTATTTAACACTGCCAAATTTGCTGTGTAGAGCTGGATGACGTCAGGGTGACTGAGATGGTCGTTGTAAAAGAAAGATGTTCCATTCCTAGAGGAAAGGAAATGACACCAGAGGAGCATTTCCATTGAGGATGACTGAACCACGGAGGGAGAGAAAACTGGCTGCTTTTTCTAAGAGATGTTAGATGCCAGATCTCCTCTGTGGGATGATTGATCCTTTAGGTACCGATAAGGATTAGCAGCTGTTGTTTGGAACACCTGTCTGTGAAGAGGAAGTCTGTGAGAAGCAGGGTGGATGGATTGATCTTTTCCAGGTGTGCTTGAAAGGAGGAGGAATCTAGAGTAATGCTAAATAGATTCTATGGAGGTCTGAGGGCTGATGGTTTTCTCTTTGGAAACTGGAATGCCCAGTTCTGAGGAGGCTTCGGTCAGAGAGCTGAGACCAAATGAGGAGGTAAGGATCAGGGAGCGACCATCAGAAAGAAGATGGATGACACAGGGAAGTTTGGAATTGTTAATGAGAATCCAGCATAACTCTTCTCAGAGAGAATAAAACATTTTGGGGCTACGAATGGGAGGCAAACTGCTAAGTTGAATTCTATTCAGTTTATTTCTATAGCTCCAATTCACATCATGTCATCTCAGGTCACTTTCCAGTTCACCAGATCATCCAGTTAGATTGATTCAAAGTTTTCTATCTAAGGAAAACCAGCTGATTGCATCGACTCATTGACTCTTCAGCAATCCCTCACACTAAGCATGCTTGTAGCGACAGTGGAGAGGAAAAACTCCCTTTGAACAGGAAGAAACCTCCAGCAGAACCAGGCTCAGTGTGAGCGGCCATCTGCTGAGGCCCACTGGGGTTCAAGGAGACAGAAGCAGACATAGAAAAAGAAGCATAGATACAAAAGGCAACTGTAAAAGTTGCCCCCGTCCAGGAAACACACAGCCAGGCAGATGGAGGACAGAATATTTGCATGTGTCACTGGGTATATTAAGGGACAGTGTAGCCACAAACCAGAATGCTGTGGTGAAGATGCAGCAACTCTCTTCTGTCATAACCAGCCATGAAACTAGAGTGTTATTAAAATACTATGAGTTCTGTCACATATCCATGCTGCTCTGCTCCGATAGATGTGTCAATCAGTACATATGAGAAATATCTCAGTTATTTCAATGACAAAGTATCAGGAAACTCACCTGTGCTCATTTTAAGGTGTTCCTTCCTGCTTCTCCTACACTCAGCTGTGTTTAAGGGATTTAAGCCAGTTTCTCTGATCTTATTTACTGAGGTCATTCAACACATGGAACAAACCAACTGTCCCTTTGACATTGTCCCTGAATGGTGAAGGAGGTTTTTAATACTGTTAGTGTGAGTCTCCTTAAGCAAGGCTTCTAGGAGAGAGAAGGAGGACACGGAGGTAAGCTTAAGTCTAAACAATCTGTTCAGTCTTAGGAGAGCTAGCAGGCAGGTTACCACTGAGTGGAATTTTAACCGACTGGCGTCCGTCCCAGGGAATCCACTCCTCTAAATACTGCTCCCTGATTGCGTCCAATTGGAACCAGCTGGAGGCTCGTCAGGACTGGAGTCTGAGGAGGAAAAGGTAAGAAAGAACCCTAACACAGCTCAGCACACAATCCAGTGGGCCCAACATGGTCCAGATGAAACAGCAATAAATGGTTTGGTCCTCATTTCCTGCGTCGCATCAGTTCTCCCCGTCTGTCACAGGTAGTTCGCTTGATCCAGGCTTTAAAGGGGAACGCCAGTTTTTTTCCATTGGGTCCTTGATTTTACGTTATTCCATCATGATCTACTCACCCATATGAGTTTGGTGTCATTTGGAGCCGTTCTGAAGATATTTTTTGTGTAGAAAGCCCTAAAAAGAAAAGGAGACGACGTATTTGGACAAAGACACAGCTGAGCAAACATGGCTACTACGGTCTGTCAGTTTGACAGAAAGAACTCCATTTCACTCATTATATCCCCGCCATGCTGCTGGGTTTACAGAACAATCCTTGTTTGCCAACTGAATGATTTGCCCACGACGGTTGGGACCTCACGATTCCTGATCGGGACGCGGTCGTGAGAGGCTGGTCGCCCCTCGTAACCCGCTGTACACTACACGACTCACGACGCACAATCAGGCTGAAAGTCGGCCTGATCGAAAGATTGCTGCATGAATGGAAAATCCCCCTGAAAATCACAGAGTGTACGGCGGGCGTTAGCAGCAGCTAAATGCTAGCAGCTAAACTCTAGCAGCTAAACGCTATAGGATATTTACATGAAATAACTGCCTTTGTTCCTTCATCAGGTAAACCGATGATCCACCAGATTCACCTGAATAAAAGTCATTTTCTGGAAATGATCCAACTGATAGCTTATTATTCAGCTAAAAACGACTTCTTCTCCCTGTATTACGCTACTACAGCAGGCTGGATATGTGCATCGGTCACAAAGTCCTCTGCTGCTCTTGCATGTGATTCGCTGCAGCTTCTGTTTCTCTCCAGCTGATTAAGATGATTGGATTCTATAGAACGCAACGTTTCCAAGGAGATATGAAGCCCCTGATCGGACCAACGGTTCTTCCATACACCGCTGCCTCTAAAAGGATCCTTCATCCACTTAGCTTTGTATAGATATTGCCTAATTAGAGTGTGTAATTCAAGACTGGTGAAGAGTGCATTCAAAATTTAACATTAAAATCTAATCATCTTTAACTTCTCAGCTGCTTGTTGGATCGACACCAAACTTTGCTACATATGTAACCAAGACGTTGCATTTGCAGTTTATTATTTTTATTTCCTTCATTACCGGAAAATTAAGACGTTTTGTATGTAGATATCTGTGTTTTTAGGTGGAAGTACATTTCTGCAGATTTAACTCTTCTTTTACTCAGGCCCAGTTGAATTTCCACATTTTCACATGGACTTCCTCCTCCAGGGCCTTTATGTTGGTTGATAACATGATTAGTAGTACAGGCAGGTTACCAGCTGAGAAAAGCTTTATGAACTATGACTTTCTTTAGAAAAAAGACCTGCAGGCTTAAGAAATGAAGGAAATAAACAGTTTAGGCACAAAAATAAACAGAAGAACTGATCTAGAAGTACTTTCTAAAATAAAGTAAGAAGTACACAGCAGTACTAGCTCATTTAGAGGCTTCATCTAGGAGAGAAATTGCTGAATAGCTCCGAGCAAAGGGAGCATCCTTCCTGTGGAACCTTGAAAAAGAAAATAATTTTAATGCAAAGAACAAAAGACGTCTTTGTGTGAAAAAGGACAGATTTTTCCTTTATTTATTTCATTCACATTTCCATCCATGCAACAATACAGGAAGGAGTAAAACAGTTCACATTATGTGTTGTCATATTAGTAATATTTCAATAAACATGAATTAGAAGAAAATAACCAATAAAATCATCTATATTTTAATCTGAAGCGAAAGTACAGAGAAGCATGAAGATCTACTGCGGGCCCCGCCTGATCGGGGCCTGACCTTTAAAACAACTTTTCATTTCCTGATAAAAACCACCACCGCTAAAATGAACAATCAACTAATAAAGCTAAATGAAACAAGCAGAAATATGTAGGAATAACAAAATATTTGGCTGTTGATGATTGGTGACTGATTGTGTTTAGGTTTGTTGTGAAGGTATCAGTTACTGATGAGCCAGGACTTCCTCCTCTACTTTAGCTAAGATCTCTGCCTTCTCTTTCAGTTTGATCAGAGACTGGACCCTGTCCCTCCAGCCTTCTCTGGCCTCCTTTTCCTCCCCTTTGATGAGCAGGTCCATGTATTCTGGAGTGGTGAGGGGATTTGGGTTCAGGATTATCTCTTTCATTCTGTTCAGGCACTTTGCAGACTCTGCGATCAGTTTCACCACATCATCCTGCATAGATCTATACTCAGACATAAGCTTTGCCATCAGATCCTCTAAACTCACCTTCTGTCCCCAGACTGTCTCATATTTTTCTTTCAGCTGTTTCACCGTTTCTGTTTTGTTAATTTGATCATATTCCCATCTGAAGCTCTGGTTTGAATGCACGTTCCAAAAGCATTTCCCTGGACACACCGTGCAGTACCCTTTGCTCCCCATTGCTGAACATCCTTTTTTACCGTCATCATTTGGGATGCCACAAGGGTAGTGACAGGTCACATAACACTGCATGCAGTTGGTGATGTATTTTCCAGTGTTAGAAATATCAACCTGCCTGTTTTTCCTCTTAGTGACATGAAACTCAAAGTTTTCATTGCGTCTGATCTCTGCTTCGTGCTCTTTCAGTTTGTGGTTGGTCTCCCTGATATCCTCAAGCTTGGATAAGCTAAGTTTAACCTGCTTCTGCAGTTCCTCCACGTTACTCTCCAGTTGCTTTCTTTCTTCCTGTAACTCAGTGGTCATTGTCAATCTAATGGTTCTAATGTTAGTTAGACTGGCAAAGAAAGCGGCCATGCTCTTTGTCCCCATGTTCCAAAACTCAAAGCTTTTCTCTTCATAGCACCAAATCATGCGTCTTACCCATGAGGATTTGTTGTAAGCAAACAGCACCGAGTTATTGAATTGGAAGTGAGCTGGCAGCCCGTCTGCACCTGTAGGACATGGGACAGCGGACACTTTAATGGCCTCTAGAACCGGTGGCTGCTGCTCATCTGCAAATGTCACCAAGATCCTGATGTTCTCTGCCACACCTTTGCCAAAGATTGAAAGTGCTGAATCAAACATGGATCTTTGTGATGATGTCAGCTCAGTTAAAGCCGCCTCAACTACGACACACACAGCATCAATGTCACCAATACCTTCCTGGTTGGTGAAGAGGTTACGCAGCTGCTCTGTGAGCTCCTTGTCTCTGTCTGCGCCACCAATGTCTCCAAAGCTTGGGGAGTCTATGATGGTCAGGGAGTAGTTCACCAGGAAGCCCTCCTGGTGGTAGAGTTTGTACACAGTGATTTCTGATGTCTGACTGTGAACCTGCCCTTCGTCCACTAACTTAAAACGAAACGAGTCTTCCCATCTAACGCCTAGAACGTAGTTTATCATCCCATTGATGACAGTGGACTTCCCAGCACCTGCGGCTCCAAGAACCAAAATGTTTCTGTTACAATTGAAGGATTTTTCTCCAAAAGTGAAACTTTTGCAGCCTTTAATGCTGATTTGCTTCTCTTCTAGTGGAAGTTGGTAAACTGGGATACCTCTTCTTGGTGAAGTCAGTAGAGTGCTGTTCTCTTTAACAACAAGAGCCAGTCGTTTAGCTCCCGGCTTTGACTCAATGCAGGTTGATCGACGTCTCAATAAAATGATGATAAATCGAAGAAAACAGAATATTAAAAACACAATAAGAAAGAGAGATATTTCCACTGAGTTTGACATGAAAAACGCCGTGATTGTTGGTGCTAAAACTCCTGACATCTTGACTTCATCTAATAATGTCAAAATCACTTCTGAAAGATATCTCTCAGACGCCAATACATCCTTCAGATTGATGATTTCCAGCCAATGAAACCAAAGTAAAACATTCACAGCAGCCAAGATAGTTGTGGCCAACGTGTTTGACAGAGTGAGAAACACTGCGATGTTCAAAACCGTGGCACCTGATATCTCAGGAAGATCTATTGCTGATGGGAAGAAATGTGTCACTTTAAAGATATTCAACCGGTGCAAACTAAATACTGCAGACACCACAACTAAAAGAGTTGTTGTTAGAGAGTTAGACCAGATGAAGAACAGAGTGACCGTCAGCGTCAATACGCCGGATATCCTCGGATCGTCTAACGCTGCGATGACCAACTTTGAGAGGTTCCTTCTGGATGCAAACACATCTGTGAGTGTAATGATGTTCTGCCAGTGAAGCAACAGCAGAACAACCACAACGAGGAGCAGAGTTATCGTCAGCCAGCGCCACATCTTGATTGTCATTGTAGGTCTTCTCTGTTGACAACCTGTCTGAAAGCAAACAAAAGGAAACAGCATAAAAACATCGATTTAATCCTCTGATACAGTAAAAGGTTTTTATTGCACCAGGAAATGAACCTGATGATATGCAGTTCATTCATGCCTAATTCTGTTTCTCCACAAAGTATTATTTAAAAACAAAAGTACAGCAATTACATCCAACAACATGGCGGACGGTTTGGAAAATGGGGAAGAAATGAAGGGTGCAGGAGGTTTGCTAGACTTGCAGGAAGAAGGCCTTGACTCATAGCCTTATAGACCAGACTACATGTGAGATTAAATGTGTAATTTAGTCTGGCCCTGATGAATGAGCCATCAGAAGAGTGCTGATGAGAACAACCCGTTGTTTTTCAAACCATTTCTGTGCCTAGTTTGTGCTGTTGTCGGAAAATATTTATCTCTCTTCTATTATATAATAATTTATCCTATTTACTCACTATAAAAGTTTTCACTCAGCCTGTTTCACCTTGAAGGCCACACCATTCTCTGCAGGATGGTGTTTGTAGACCAGACATAGCTTCTTCCCATAACAAACCAGATTCTTTCTCAGGTTTATTCATAACATGTTACTGTTTAACCAAAGTGTCTGTAATTAGTTTTGACTCTGACTACTTTCAATTGTTGTAAGTAAGGAGGAACGAACGCTGTCCAGATCAGAACAGGGCAGAATGCTGCCATTAGGGCTGCATGATGAACTGTTCTCTCTTTGCAAAGATCTGAATAAATGTGTCGACTGTATGAAATCCATCGATCTCTGTTTATTTAACTAGGATGAATAGTTGAATACTTTTTTCCCACGACAGTGCCTAGTTTAAAAAAAAAAAGCTAAATTAAGAGGGGTTTGCTTTATTCAGGGTCCACTTCCTCTCAGGTGGAAAAGCCTGCTGAGGGTTCTTTAAATTTGGGCCTCTAGTGTCAGCATAGAAATAGGTTAAAGGAATTAACTTTACGAATATTGATTTTTAATTTTATTTTGTGCTTTTATTCCGCTGCTATAATGCTATTTCTTTTTCCTGCCAGATGCTAGCTAAAAAAAGATATTATTATAGTTTAGCATACGTGTGGTCAGTGCCTTTACTGCCTCATCTATTCCTGATGGTATCCTGTGGAGAGGAACTGCTATGTGTGGGTCCTATAGAATAAAATAGGTATTTTAAAGGTTACCTAGCCTAGAGCTGTTAGGATGAGGGTGGCATCCGCGGGGAATCGGGGATGACAGCCATTAGATCTTTTGACCTGCGAGTTTGAAAAGGGTGAGGCCTTGAGAACGAGAGACGGGCAACATGGTCAGCGAGTCCCATCCAGCCCTCCGTGAATCTCAGGGACTTAGAGGTGAGTAATACTCTGCAGGCCCAGAGATCCAGGAACAATGCAACCTTTTGACCTTGACCCACCATCAAATCATTGGTAATCAAGTCATCTGTTCAGGTACTCCAGGAATATGGGTGTGTAGATGATAGGAAGCACAGCATCTGTTGCATTTATTGACCTCTGGTAAAGATGTTTGGAAAGCCCTAAAATAAACCTGTTATTGCAGCAGCATAATCAAACACTGAAGAAACAGGGCTATGGTTAGCATTCAGACTTCATGCTACATTTACAACGGATGCACTTAGAGCAACAGAAGCAGCTGGTTTACATGTAAACTTAATGGTTGACTTTACAATCAAGGAGCATTAAAAGGTCCTGCAGCTCGTCTGGAGCAGCAGGAGCAACAGGAGCCGGCAGAATATGTTGGCTTTTATTATCCTGCTGCCTGCAGTTTGTAGCACAGACCTGAAAAACGCTAACATCTACTTCCAGCTGCCACCAACAGGAGGGGACAACCCCCAAGAGGCGAGCGGGCCTGAGGCAGCTGCTGCTGGGGATTCCCAGTGACAGCGCAGCGCCGGTATGTGGGGGTCTGAGCGGCTCCCACAGAGAAATAATCTTTGAAGGCAGGATGGTAATCTGGATGAACTGACTGCACAGACCATGTTTTCAGGAGGACTTTCTCACTTCAACATAGATTCTAACTACTTTCTACCCGCTGATCACTGCTAATATAGCAAAGCTGCTCTCTGGCATCGAACACAGGAGCAGCAGAAGCATCTGGACTCACTTTACTGGACGGCTGACCTTAATGAGGATCAGAGATGAAGCAGCAGAAGCTTCTTTGATGCTCAAATCGTGTTAGATGTGAACGTAGCATCAGCGTATTAGCTAAGGTTAGCTACAGTGCTAAGCTTAGCTTTAATATAGATGGTAACATGTTGACAGTGTGGAATGTTTACTGGTAGAAGGATGAAGGAATCATGTGCTTTAGAGACATGAAGCGTTGAAACAAACATAAGAAACTAGTCTGAGGCTTTCAGCAGGAACAAGCATGGCATCATGGCTCCAATGCAAAGCTGGACTGGAGTTCATCTACCAAAGCAGACAGCCAATAAAATACACCTGGAATGGGATTCCAAACTTTTCTAGCATCACCGCTGCTGGTAATTGATGCATCCTGCAGCAGATTATTAATCTCTCTGACTTGAGGATTGATCATTTTCACAGAATGAGTTAAAGATGAATCAGAACAAACCTTGTTTGGCTTTTATCCACACCTCTCACAGCTTGTAGTTCCAGTCGGTGTCTTTCAATGCCCTGAACTACAATAAAAAGAGCATAACGCATCAGGCCTCATTCAATTCTGCAATATTTCCAAACAGAAACTGAAAATATTTTCAGAACAAATTTAGCCATTTAATTTAAGAAAAGTGTCATGAGAATGAAAATGTTTCTGTCTGAGATTTTATGGCCACATAAAGGTAATTAATGTTGTTAAATCTAAAACATGTCAGATTCAGGTTAATCTGCGACTTCAGCTTAGGATAGAAAACAAACCACTTCCTGAATCAGCTTGGTTCCACACAGCTGGATGCAAAATCACACAATCAGGAAATCTAACATTTAACGTGTTGATGATGCAACATTGATTTCATTCAGCAGGACAAACCAGCAGCTTCTGAGTTATTCTGAATTAAACAGGCTTTTCTTTAATCAAAGATATGCTACATTCAGTAGCTCCTCAGCAGCACTACCACCGTCTCCATGGTGACGGGAAAACCTGCTGGAGCTAGCTTAGCATGCTATAATGGAGATGGATGGAAACACTGATGATTGTTCCAGATAATCTAGTCCAGAATCAGTCTGTGTGGTTGAACCATCAGCCAGTTGAAGCTCAGGAGAGGGTAGTGATGCTGAGGGACATGGAGTCAAACCTCTAGCCTACAGTCAGACTCTGAGGGTGATGCTAATATGGCCGCAGCTGCTACGCCTCAGCTACAAATAGAGGAAGCAGTTCTTAGTTTTTATATATATATATTTATTTATATATTTATAATTGGGATATAATACCTTAACTGAACCTGATTTTTAAATAAATCATCCATCGCTGTTAAAAGAAATGATCTAATATATTATTAAAGGGAAACCAGCAACTCCATCACCAGGGTTGTCAGATGTGCCTGTTTTTACTGCCTCCACTGTCCCCGTCTGTCCCTGCCTGATCTGCTCACCTGAACCTCTGATGGACTCCTGCTGGACTCTACCTGTCTGTGTGTTTCTGTCTGAGCTGGATGCTCAACGCACAGGAGGAGTCCTGGGTACGGTGGGAAGCAGCTTTTACACTGAACAACCAGGCAGCTCTTTTAACGAGGGAACAAAATAAAAAAAAACGACCTTCTGATTATGTTTCAAGCACAACATGGAGTGCTCCAACTTCTCTCCATCTCATCTGACCTGCTTCAGCCTCTTTGAAATCAGCTGCGACACAATGTGAAGGCATGGCTGCATCTAGATCCATGGAAACTTCTCAGAAGTCTTTAACTAAACCACTGTTTCATCTCTCAGTCCTTCTCCTGCATTCGTCAATCCTGTTTCTCCCCGTTAGAGTTATTGAATGAAAATTATAAAATTAATGTGTGTGCATATGAAACATTGAAGAAATAAGATGCTACATTCTGTCCTGTGATTTAATTAGGAGGGTCATTCTAGACTTGCCTTCAGCCAGAAGGCATTTACAGGGTCATAAACTTTTATGACCTGCCTCTCAGCCAGTTGGTCATTCTAGGGTCATAAAACCCACCCATCTCTTTCTGCTCTGTGAATAAAAGACTCTGCTGTTCTGTTGGGGCTCAGATTGGTGCTGGGATGTGAGCAGCAGTCTTTCTCATTCCTGCAGGAAAAGCTCTGTGCTTCAGATTCATTTTTGTCCTATATGAAATATGAACTCACAATATTTTGAATCTAACATTTTTGATGCTGAAAACCCGGGAGTCAAGATCCAATTGTCCAGGACCGTGCGGGACCAAGGCCAAGAAACTGTCGACAGCTGTCCGCCCTTCGCCGGACGGGGCCAATAGGTTGGTCCAGCCCTGCCCTGGACATCCTGGTGACGACTCTCGCTGAGGACTGAATCTGCGCAGCCAAAGGGTAGGCCTAAAGCTTTTGATCAAAGGTTGGTCTGGGACCATTTGAAAGCTATAACTGGTTGTAGTCGCAAGAATATTTGACAAACAGGGTTTTGTTGTGATAGATCTGGGATCGGTATTCTGTGCGTTTGGGTCTGGAACCCTCAGTGTTCTTTTAAGATAAGAACTCAGCTAAGTAAGGTTTGCAGCTGCCGCAGCAGGGATAGCAGATACAGCATCTGGGTATCCGGTGCGTGCGAGGGCCTGGAGTTGGAGACTCCAAAGTGTACACGTAATGATAGGTGTTTTTCTTTTGTCTATGATTGGTAAAAATAAAAAATATATTAGGCCTTAGAATAGGTGTGTGTGACTGTGTAAGAGTGTGTGAGGAAACAATCGAACCGCTGGGTTCTGTTGTTTCATACTAAAACAGCAGGAATTAATACAGTATAACTCTTGTGGATGCAGAGGCAAGAATTTCTCACATGAAAAGGTAGAAGCAGAAATTACCACAACAGTGTTTGGGTGCTGTCCTGCTGAATAAACATCCAGTGCGTAGAATACCCTAGGTGTTTGTACTGGACTAAATTCTTTAAAATGGGAAAAGGTCAAAATAAATTAGAGATAATTTAGAATCTACGATTAGAAGTTTGTAGAAGTGCAGGATCCAACAAAAAAAAATAATCACTTGAATATATAGTTTGGAAAAAATATGGGTTTGAGGGACGCCTCTATTCCAAGATAAAATAATAAGAACTAAATGATAAAATAATAGAACTAAAGTGAGTCAGGGCGGTAAAAGAATTAAAAAGGATGGATTCAGGGAAGAGTATAGAGAAGATCATAAAGGGGATGTAAAATTTGTGTCAGATTGATCCAAGTAATTTAAATTACTTGTAGGAGTGGAAGTTAGAGTATGAAATAGATGGTGTGTGGAAGTAGATCAATGAAGAAATGTTATGTGCCGGCTAAAAACAAGCACTAGTGAAAAAATAGATAAATAGATAAATAGATAAATAGATAAATAAATAAATAAATAAATAAATAAATAAATAAATAAATAGATAAATAAGCTCCAAATGGCGAGGTGTAGGTATGATACATGCACAAAGTAGATACAAGGAAAACCTAAATAAATAGATCTAATGTTGTGTTTGTCCGTCTTTAAATGTTATGTGTTTCCGTCTTTAAAGTTATATTTGCGGGTTTTTAAGTTGTTTGTGCGTCCAAAAGCTAATGAAACACAGTTTAGAGGGAGGGAGTCAGCTTGAATTTGCAGCAGCGTGGAAACATGTCTATGGATCGATGACTGCAGCGTTGATCTACAGACACCCTTCCTAATGCGCCTGCATGGTCTCCAAAACTATTAAATTTGGAACCGGAGAATTTAAAAGAAAAAAAAAATAATAATAACCCACCGGAAAATTATTTTAGTCATGCAAGCTACCTACAGGGAATAAAATTTTTTTTAGAGGGATTAAATAGGTGGATTGTGCAAGCTAAAACATAGAAACGGCTATGAAGCGTAGTTTGGACCATAATTGGGCTCAAGGGAGGGGCCGGTGGTCACAGGGGAAAAACAAGGGGTCACGTAGAAAGCACAATAGGTGCTACAATTGGGATAAGGAGGGCCACTTTGCTCGAGAATGCCCAGACCCCGCAGAGTGACCCTCCCTGTCACCAATGTTATGACCAGCACTGACGCCAGGAGTCATGTGCACCAGCAAAAAATGCAGTTAATTGTGGACCCAGTGGAGGTCCTGGACCTACAGCAAATTTTCCTTTCTTTTTTAAACACATCAGAAAAACCATACTGGCCTTTAAACATCCAAGGGGTAAAAGTAAAATTCCTGTGTGACATCGGAGCCAATATATCTATTCTGAGGGATACAATACCTCAGGTTAAACCGGGACTAAAATGGATCACTGTAGTCTCTGCTGATGGAAGAATGGAAGCTCAGCGCATTTCTGAAAAACAATTGGTCACTGATGAAGATGGATTCAGGGTGAAAGCTGATTTTGATTTTAAGCCCAGACTGTCCAGTTAATCTATTAGGCAGAGATTTGTTAAGGAAATTGCAATTAGTGCTACAGCCTACAGACAGAGAAGTATTAGTAAAAAGATGTACATGTTGCATAGGGAAGTTACTCTAGAGATGCAGCTGACACACATGTGATAAATTCAGGCTCATCCCCGAAAACATTTTACTTCCTGGATCTAACCACCCAGGGGAAAAGATGATCCATAGGAGGGGTCATAAAATTTGTATGTGGATGTGTCAGTTTCCAGAAAGAAATTAGTTGTTTTTACAATTGTAGATGAGTTTAAAAAAAAAAACTTTATAGTGCTGCCTTAAAATCATCATATTCTGTGTAAACTGCAGAGATTGTTGCACTAACAAAAACATGTGAAATTTCAAAAGGCATCAAGGATGCAGGGGCGGTTCTAGAACTTCAAAGGGGGCTTTCAGCCCAGACCAGTAAAAGCCGACCAGGAAGGAAGAGTCCACAGGTGTAGTTCTTCATCTGAGTGTGAATAGGTGTTTGAGCAAATGGGGGACCAGGAAGAAAGAGTCCACAGAGGAAGTTCTTCATCTGAGTGTGAATAGGTGTTTGAGCAAATGGGGGAGCCATTAAAATAGTAGATGTGTATGAAGCATGGGGGATATTAAATGCATTAAAAGAAAAAACATGAATAGTTTTAACAATTATTAGACAAGCAGTTAGACTTATATGCAATTCAGGAGCCTGTAAAATTTGCATTAAAGATAATGTAGGACTAAAACCAACTAAAATACAAATTTTTGTAAAATCAGCAAATGGTCAAACATCCTAGGAGTGGATGTCAAAGGATTAGGAAAAAGGTTGCAAGGTTGCATGTTTTTGTAGTAATATCACCAACTCACCACATTAATTTGTTAGGATGGGAATTGATGGGAAAATTAAGCAATTTTTCTCAAACAGGGGGGCATGAAGGCTGAATGTGGAGAACATATAAATAGCGTTTCAACAAAATCTACTTGTGTCTATCTGCACTATGCTAGAAGCACATTGTCAGATCCACTGGATGAAAGTCTGTTAGTTGAACAGTAGAACACTTTGAATTTGTGCTTAACCCCAGATGAAAAGTTTGCAAAGATATTCCAAATGCATTGTGGTCTACAAGAAGAACTGATGCAAGACTGTTGACAACTATAGATTTAGTTGAAATAGTTCCTAATACAGACCAAGGATAAAACAATATCTGCTAGAATGTGAAGCAAAGGAAAATATAAACTAGTTATAAAAATTTTAGCGGGTGCAGAAATAAGTTTGTTGTTTGGGCCATGTTATTTCGGAGGAGGGGGAAAAGCATGTCTCAAACGGGGGGAAGTTATGATTAATATAGTATAGTAACACACACAGGTGTTTAACTACTACTGCTTTTAAAATTGTTGCATGTCTCACATGTTGTAAATACAATTCACAAGCAAATCAGAGAACTAAGTGAGGACAGGCACCAAGAGGTACAGCTCCATTTGAAGTAATTAGCATGGACTACATCGAGCGGACCCCAAGTGGTCAGTACAAGTACTGCCTAGTCCTAGTGAACAATTTTTCTAAATGGGTAGAAATTGTTCCCACAAAGCATGCCAATGCGCTGACAGTAGCAAAAGCGTTGTGTAAACATATCATACCTGAGCATGGTATCCATAAAATCTTACAAAGTGATAATGGAACACATTTTGTGAATGAAGTGGGATCACTAATGTCCAAACATTTAAACATAAACTTTGAAACATCACTGATTCTACCATCCACAGAGTGCAGGATTGGTGGACCGAGCTAATGGAGAGGTTAAGAACAGATTGAGAAAATTCATGGCAGAAACAGGAAAGCCATGGCCAGAGTGTTTGCACTTGGTAAAATTACTCATGAGGATCATTCCAACATCTGATGGTTTGGCCTCTTTTGAAATAGTGAATGGGAAACCTTTTGTTCTACCTTTATGGGAAGGACAGCCATTGGCAGAAAAAGAACATTGACCCATTAACTAAGTGAATTCTGAAGCTGTTCAGATACAGAACTGTTCAAAGAACATGTAATCTGCCCAGAGCTCCTTTTGTTTCCCACCAGGAAGGCCTGAAGCCTGGAGACCGAGTGCTGATTAAAATCATCAAGGGGAAAATTGGGCAGCTCCTAAGTGTGAAGGGCCCTACATTGTTCAACCAAAAACCCCCACCACTGTGAAGAGATCCAGGAAAGAGAGACTTAAATCCACCAGAGTCATTGTAAGCTGATTAAAGATGTTCCTCAGAAGCCCAGTAACCTTCACAGGGACCCCACGACTAAGGTACGGATCTGTGGTGAAGTCCAGCTTCAAAGGGGTTTGGTTTTTTAGGACCACTCGTCTCAACGCTGGTGAAGAAACCAACCTAACCCAGTCCTTTAGAGTCCGGTTAGTGGGTGTTTCCTTGGAGGGACTGGTGAAGATGGGAAAAACCAAAGTGGTTTTGCTGCCTGGTGATGACCGTTGGACTGGTGTTACTAGAGACTCAAACTGACTGAAACAAAGGAGGAACAGAATGATCTTTGATGGATCCACAGCAAGTCATCCTACAGTGCCAAAATGTGGTGGCAACATTCCAAGCGCGTTGCTGAAGATTTGAACAAAACAGACTGTTATGTTTGTACTCATATTCCTACTTCTATGAATACAATATGAGTTGAAAGATGCTGATGTTTAATATGCCCAACAGGGGGGAATGTTGGAGTTATTGAATGACAATTATGAAATTAATGTGTGCGCATATGAAACATTGAAGAAATAAGATGCTACATTCTGTCCTGTGATTCAATCAGGAGGTTCATTCTAGACTTGCCTTCAGCCAGAAGGCATTTACAGGGTCATAAACTTTTATGACCTGCCTCTTAGCCAGCTGGTCATTCTAGGGTCATAAAACCCACCCATCTGTTTCTGCTCTGTGAATAAAAGACTCTGCTGTTCTGTTGGGGGTCAGATTGGTGCTGGGATGTGAGCAGCAGCCTTTCTCATTCCTGCAGGAAAAGCTGTTTAAAAAATCCTTTTGTGCTTCAGATTCATTTTTGTCCTATATGAAATATGAAATATGAACTCACAATATTTTGAATCTAACACTCCCTCAGTCACTGAGCAGCAAAAAATACTATAAAATAATGACATGGTGTCATCAACAGTTCAATGGTGTTTTTATCAGATGCTGATATGACCGGAGGCAGTGAATGAAAAGGAAAACGCCTCACTTTCTTCTACTGAAGTGGAAGTAAACATGTGGACGCTGAAGTGAAGTTCTAACATTAGGAATAAAAACAAAACAATTCAACAAATGAAACAAAAAAGGAAGCAGATCATTTGCAAAGAAGGTCTGAGCTGCAGGTAAAGACTTGTGGACATTTGTTCCCCTGCAGCTGTAACAGGAACACCTGTCAGATCACTAATGCTTCATTTAGATCTAAATGTTTCCGTCTTACTGACAGAATCATTCTGGCTTTTTCTGTGTCTGCTGTAAAATATCTTCCATCTATCCTCCAATCATTGAGTTTCTTTTAGGAGAACTTTAAACCATGAAATGATCAAACAGAGGCTGAATAAGCACAGTCCTCCTCTGATGTTGAAATGGGAACCAGGAAAAGGTTCAGTTCTCCTGAGGACTAAACTGGCAGCTACAGGATCCTGAGCTTTCTCAGCTGGAGCTGCTAAGTTCTAGAAACGTCTCCCTCCGTCCATCAGGGCCACCACCAGTTTGGCTAATTTTAAATCCTCTGAAAAACTCCAGTGTTTGGCTGTGAAAATATTTTTGTTTATTTCATTATTTTATTTAGTAAAATTGTGGTTTCATTTTCTTTTGATTATTTTATTGCTTCATTACTTTGTTGTGTTTAATAGAGCTTTGCAAATAAAGATTGACTGATTCAGAAAGGTGATTCTCTTTACACATAAAACAGATGAAATAAAGGGTTTTCACATGAACTTATATTTACAGTTATTCTATTTTTCCTTCCTTATTTCCATAATATCCATTCGTCATGTTAATTATTTTGCAGTCCGTTAGAAAGAATAAGCCGTGCATCATATAAACAGGTTTTTAGAGTCGTCCAACATTTCTGGTGCATATTTAGTTTCTCACACTTTTCTATTTGACTCATTTTTGTCAGATAATAAAAACATGGAGAAATCTGTGGAGATGGAATCAGTAGATGTTAAATTAGAGAAATATAACCTAGTAAAGATCAGATAATGTTTTAATCAAATGCTGAAACTTATACAGTGTGGTTGTATTTTTCTTAATGTTGTTATTAACAGCAATATGACAGAAAAATAAAAATGTCATTTGCTTTAAAAGAAGAACAGAAGATAAATAGAAACCAACCTTTCTAAACTTCCTGTTGTTTCTCCTGCCAGTGGTTCTCCTGCTGCTGTTTTGTTAAACTACATTTTTTCACAAAAACAGATAAATGATTTTATGGCTTTAAGGTAAAAAAAAACAAACTAATGAATAAAAAAGTCAAGATGTCAGAGATCACAAACCTACCATCAGCATGTGTCTCCAAACCAGAGGGGAAGTTCCTCTTCCTTTGACTGAAGCCAAATTTATAGCCTAAAACACACACACACACACACGCGCACACACACACACACACACACACACACACACACACATCACATACCACACACATCACATACCACACACACAGACACACACACACACCAACACACACACACACGCACACACACACATGCGCGCGCACGCCGCACACACACATTACACACATATTACACACACCACACACACACGCACCCACACACACACACACATACCACACACACACACACATACCACACACACACACACGCACACACAAACCAACCTTCTTACTTTTATTTTCAAAAGCAGAGAAAAAAGCTGCAGGGATTTTTTAGTTGCCTTATGTCACAGGTGTCAGACCGGTTCCAGAAAGGGCCGTGTGGCTGCAGGGTTTCTTTCCAACCAAGCAGTAGCACCAGACTACATTCATATCATCATGTTCAGATTGGACTCCCTTGATGAGATGACTGCAGTCTGGTGTGCTATTGCTTGGTTAGAAAGAAGACCTGCAGCCTCATGGCCCTTTCTGGAACCAGTTTGACACCCCTGTCTTATGTTAAAAACAACAGCAGCTGCAGCATTTCTCAGAAACGGGGAGACACAGCACTCCATTTCTGATAACTTTGCTCTGTGGAGCATCGTAGCGTTAGCCAGGTTTCTATTATTCTACATCCATATCAGCCCTGGTTAGATGCATATTTAAACACAGAGCTGTGCTCCATTAAATTCACCTTATTTCAGCTAAGAAAAGTGCAGGAAGCAGTGAAATCCACCACAAAGGGGATTGAACATGGGCTCTAGATTAAACACACAGCTTAGTGCCACAAAGGTCACAAGTTGTACATGGGGAATTCAAGATCCAGACTGACAAACAGGTGATGGCTAACCAACCAGACATCGTGTTGATCGACAAACAGCAGAAGAAGGCAGTAGTGATAGATGTGGCAATCCCAAGCGACAGCAACATCAAGAAGAAAGAACACCAGAAGCTTGAGAAATATGGGGTTCCATTTGTGTCAAAAATAAGCAGATGTAAAATGTCTAGATGTTGTGCTGTTGTTGCATATGTGTTGTCTGCATATGTATAAGTTGCACATGTATTTGTTGCATATGTAGATGCTGCATATGTAGATGCTGCATATGTCTATAATGCATATGTCTATAATGCATAGGTCTATGCTGCATATGTAGATGCTGCACATGTCTATAATGCATATGTCTATGTTGCATATGTAGATGCTGCATATGTCTATAATGCATATGTCTATAATGCATAGGTCTATGCTGCATATGTACATGCTGCACATGTCTATAATGCATATGTCTATGTTGCATATGTAGATGCTGCATATGTCTATAATGCTGTCGTTTCCTTTGCTGTTACAGCCTGTCATTCTCCCCTGTCGTTGTCCCCCTGCTGGTATACCTGTCGTTGTCCCGTCATCTCCCTCTGCTGGTACAACCTTGGAGGACATTTAAAATGATCAAAATGCCACCCATAATTCATAAAAAGGTTAACTCAAATAATAGGCCTCAATAATAATTCATTTTGATGTTTTAAGTGATCAAAATGCCACCCTTTTTTATTCAGAGGCTCTGGGGTATGGAGGACAGGCCCACTCAGCAGCCTTCCACTTCACTTTGATAGCTGATATTTTGATTGCTTGATAAAATGTACTTTTAAATTTTGAAAACAAGCTAATAGGCAATTTCACTAAAGTTAACATGCAGTACAAAGACATACCATAAATGTACTTCAATAAGTAAAATTATTTCTAAAAGAGAGGTTAGCTACTGCATATTATTCACATTTCCAACTCTCTACCTTTGTAATTTCAGGCTTGGCCAAACTAACTTATTCACTAATGACACCCTGAACTGAATCACCCTGTGGAACAGAATGCCTAAGATTGGGGGAGAACATGCAACTATTTTCTGTTGCTTTCTGCTTCCATGGTTTTATAGGAATTCCCACTTTGATCTTTTAGAAAACTGTGATACTATTGACCTAGAATACTCTGAAGCGACAATAACATAGGAACAAAAATGTCAATGTAATATTGTTAGAATTTACCTTTCATGCCACTGTAGAAAAACTCAGAGCCTTATTTTCTGAATAAATATTTTAACTTTACTTGGGAACAAACAATGTATGTGGAAAACGATTGAGAAACAATCCAAAACTAATGATTGAAGCACAGAAACCAAGAGAGAACCAACCCCGCCTGACACCCCCCCACCCCCCACACACACACACACCAAAACACACACACTCTCACACTACACAAAACCAAAAGTTGGAGACTGCAGAATGCCTGACTTCATATATTCCACAAAGTTCTTGAATGTTGCATAAATCGGAAGCGTCAAAATAATACTGCATGTGTTGGCTTCAGGATAGCACCGCCAGGTACCATCTTCCAGGGGGGTGTGCAGAAACTGTATTTGAGGCCTCTGGGGGAAGCCAAGTGGAGGGATTGGTTCCACTCCAGAAACAAAGATCAGTATCCTTTCAAGAGTGACTGCTCTTGAACCATCTAAAAAGTGGAGAAATGGGGCGCTAGTGCGCAGCTGTGAGATGTAGACGTGTTCGGCTTGCGCTCTCCACCATAACCTTAACTAAGTCATTAAATACCACATTTAAAGCACTTAAGAACCGGCATTCTTGACACTAAACCTTTGGCTGATTACCGGGCAGCTTTCCGCCACCGAAGAAATCTACAAACTCCGGGAAAAACAAGACCATGGACGGATACATTGACCCAGAGACGGCGCTCCGGGCGACAAGACCCAGGTGCTCGAGATGTGCCAGGAGATATGCAAGAATATGTCAGCGTCAATTCTTGAGAAACTGGATGAGCGCTTTGATGCTCTTGAAGCTAAGCTCCAGTCTGTTCTTGCTGTACAGACTGATTTGCAGAACCGTATGCCCGGCCAAGAACTAGCAGCCAGCGCACATGACGAGCAGCGGGGGGGGTTGAAACGAAATGTGTGGAGCTCACAAAGATTGTAACCCAGCAGCAAACTAAGCTGCTGGACCTGGAGGCTCGCTCCCAGAGACGTAACATCAAAATTGTTGGCATAAAAGAAAACTCGGAAGAAGGGAGGCCAACTGAGTTTGTTTCTAAGCTCATCCCTGAGCTGCTGGGCAAACAACATTTCCGGCATCCACTGAAGGTTGACCGCACTCACCACATTTTGTGACCCAAGCCGGCGGCGGGTGAGAAACCACGTACCATCATAGCCCGTATACATCACTTTCAGAGCAAGGAGCAGATTCTGCGCCTTGCAAGGACGCAGCCGTTGGAATACAAGGGGAACAAAGTCCTGATCTTCCCAGACTACACCAGCGAAGTAATGAGTCAGCGCCGCGCTTTTCGGAACATGATGCAAGCCTTGAGAAAGGATGGAATTAAGTTCCAGCTGCGCTACCCGGCCCGGCTGCAGGTGCAATGGCAGGATGATAACACCGCTGAAGTATTCAACGACCCGGATCAGGTGGAGGCGGCTCATCTGCGGAGGAAGGGGAGTACAACTGAAAATGACTAGCGAGCCGTGTGGCACATTTATTTGTGTCTGTTTTTCCTGTTTTGCCGTCTTGGAGTGAGTTAACTCCGGTACGCAGGGATTTACCTGGCGAACTATATTTTAACAACATACAGACTTCCTGAGTGTGTGTTGATTGATCCGGGTCTGTCTTTTCAGAGAATATATTTTAATAATATCTGGTATAGTTGTTTAGTTCATATATCAGTTAATGATTGTTGTGGTGGGGGGAGCTGTGACTTGACTAAGTTCAGTCCGCTATTTGTCCGGCAGCTCCCGTTTCGTTTAAAGGGGAAAGATACGCGTCGTGTTCTGTAGACGCCGGGATGTGGGAGGGGGCGAGTTCGGGGTGTGTGAACCTGATCTGTTCTCTCTTCTCTGCTTCCTAGATCGAACCTGCCTGAAACCAGAAATCCTGAAGAGTTTCTCTGCCAGTTATCTACCTGCCCGCTCTCAGAAGATTCTGGAAGGAAACTCAGATCTGTAATCTGCCAACACTCAAATTAAGCTCTGCCTCTGCCAAGCCCTCAGCCTGCCGACAGCCTCTGGACCCTCAAGGTTCCCTCCCTCATCCGCTCTGCTCAACTCCAGAACAGGTACAGCCTTTCTCACTCTCAACCTGCAAATTATCTGGCCTCCGCTAACTCCTCTGTCCCCCTCTGCAGTGAACCCACTCGTGACCAATCCTGGACCTGTTAACTCTGTGTGTTTTTCAGAACTCACTCGTGACCAGACGAGTTCCCCTCTGGATCTGTTCATTTATTGCATTCAAACACTTCAATAAACTTTTGAACTTTTCTCCTGCCTCTGAGTGTTCTGCTTGTGGGTTAGGCTCCTTAAGCCAAACATGACAGAACACTCTGGCCAACAAACTCCAGCAGAATCACTCAGGAGGATGTTGAAGCAACAGCAAACTCTGATTCAGAGCCACGACACAGCCCTCCGTGAGTTAAACGCACGTCATGATCAAACGAACTGCTCTCTACAGGAAATAGCCGGCTATCTACAAAATGCTACACCTGGAACGGAGATCATTCAACTACCTGTTCAAGAAACAAATCCTCCACTCGGGTCAGAACCCAGTCCGTCGTTCTCTGAATTCCGCCCTGCACTTCCGGAAAAATTTCTGGGCAATCCAAGTAAGTGTAAGGGATTTTTGTTTCAGTGTAAACTCATTTTTGAGCATTCGCCATCTTGTTTCCCAAATGACAAGAAGAAAATAGCCTTTATTTTTTCTCAATTATCCGGAAAAGCCCTCGAATGGGCGGAAGCCAGATTTTCTTCAGAATCTAGTTTTGATTGTTCATTTGAGGAATTTATCAAGGAGTTTATGCAAGTATTCAATCAAGACACTGATAAGTCCACAGAATCTCGTGGTCTTTTGGAATTCAAACAAGGAAATAGATCTGTAACCGAATTTTTAA